TGTGTGTGTGTGTGTGTGTGTGTGTGTGTGTGTGTGTGTGAGTGAAAGGGGGAGACAGGCGGGGGTGGGGGAGATAAAGAATGACCACCTTTCTCCTTTGTTGAAGAGTAATCACACAATTTGGGGGCGGAATTTCAGGCCAGAGCACTGACTAGCCAACACATTTAACTTCACAGGACATTTTAAAAACGAGGCTCAAACGAGACCCTGCATTTACAGGTGCAGAGGCCAGGCAGGGTGGGTGGAATCATGACATTTATTAAGCCTCTATCAAATACCAGAAAGTTTACAGGAAGCTAACAAACAGTTTCATTTCATCCCCCAACCTCCCCCTCACAAAACCACTGAAAGGCAGGTATCACTGCTCTCATTTCACAGCTGTAGAAAAAAGTGCAGAGGTAAGGTGACTGGTCATAGGACCTAGCTGGCGATGGCAGAGGGGGCTGGGGACACTGAGACCTGCCACTGTTCCAGCTCTAATACTCCAGATACCATCTCAGGTGGGGGGTCTGGGAGGAGACTGAGCGAGTGTGAAAGGAAGAGGGCCGTGCAGGAGGTAAGCAGAAGAGGAGAACCAGGAAGAAGCCCTTGTGATGGAAGAGGTAACACCTCCCCCAAGAGGGGCCCAGGGGCATCAGCACAACTCTTGAAGAACGGACTGGATGGTTTTAGGCACAAGGACAGGGAAAGGGACATAAATAGCTGAGGTAAAGAGCGTCCTCACCTTATTTTTCTCTAGAAGTTGCTGCTCCAAGTCCTGTTTTTCCTTCTGTAGCTGCCCTAGATCCATGGCGGTCCCCATCTCACCATTTGGTATCCCCTCTGCAGCCGGAAGCTGGTACGCGGGGTCCTGCCCGGCCCTCGAGGTCACCTACAGGGTGGTGGCAGCACAGGACATGGTCAAGCTAAGCCACAGATCCCTAGGGAAGGGGGCCAGACTCATTCCAAAGGTGACGACTGATGTGCTCCACCAGGCAGCTAGCCAGGAACCAGACTTAAACTATGGCAACCCCGTCACAGAGCCTGCTGGGGGGACAATTAACTCTCCATGCAAGGAGCCTGCTGGGAAGGAAGGGCTTCAACACCTGAACACTGACAGGTGTCATCACGTCAGATGGGCTCCTCAACACGCACAACCCCTCGTGGCGAGGCGCCCCCCGTTGGAGAGGAAGCTGAGGCACAGGGAGGCGGCTCAGGCGGGACTCACATGAGGCTCGCTGACTGAGAGCACCACGCCCTGCTCCCGGCTCCGCAGCCTCAGCAGGTCCTCCCGCGCGTCGTCGGCAGCCTCCGACTGCTCGGCCCTCAGGCCCCTCAGGGCCTCCAGCTCACTCTGCAGCTGGCGCATCTGCAGCAGGGCGGAGTCGTGACCTAGGCCGGGCAGAGGGGAGGTGAGCGCGGTGACTGGCCACCTCCAGGCAGGGGTCCGGGCAAGAACAGGTGAAAAGGCTCAGCCTTGGCAGACTCCTCACCTTTCTTCAGTTGGAGAATCTCTTGCTCTTTCTGGAGAATCACTTCCGTTTTTTCCTGCAGACTCTGCTCCTTCTCACCTCCTATGGCGATCAGGTTAGCAGCCTCGGAGAGAAAAACCAAGAGAGAAGGTTGGTAGCAATAATCCCATCTTCCCTAAAGGAGTCTCCACTTTTCCACTACCAGGGTCCTCCACGAATCCCTTCCCTCCCTGAAGGCCACAGCCTAGAACATTCCCCAAGCTAACCTCTGCTCCTATAAACATGCACAAATCAGTTCTCCTCGGCAGGGGCCCTGCACAGGGGCAATCACCCTCACTGCCCCTCTGGCCTGTAGTGGGCCTACCAGAGACATGGCCTTTCTGCCCAGCCTTCCGAAAGCTGTCAAAACCGTAACTTCCACGTCCTGAGGGCCTGTGACGTGCCCAGCATTTGATACAAATGACCTCATTATCATATTCTTGAAGGTATGATTATCATAGGGTCTTTTCAGAGGCAACTCAGACAGATCTGTTAAGGACCGAACAAAGACCTAGAGCCAGTTACCTAGATCTGGGGCCTGACTCTTGAGTCTGTCCTCAAAGGAAGGCTTTTCCCACCCTTGCTGCTGAGAGCTCAACTGTATGTGGTCTCTGGGGCCTGCGGCCGGTGGTGGCCCACCTCACAGAATTAGAGCCCAGTAGTACCTGGTTCTGGACTTTTCCCCAGGTGATGTTTATCACATTAACTATCAAAATTTTAAAAGGCCATCCTACGGGGTGAGGGTTTCTTTCTAACATCTTTCTCCCATCTTCCTAGAGACATCAGGGGAATCAAGCAGCTGACGACACTCCTGAGACCTGTGTCCACCCTCTGCCCTGGACAGACCAGGAGGTAGGTTGGTCCTGCCTGGGACTGAGATGGAGGCATCACAGGGGGCCTACCTGTTGCTGGAACTCTTCCCTTTGCTTCCGCACCTCCTCCAGGGCTTGAGCCATTGCCACACTCACAATTTCTCTTTGGCTCCATTCTTCCTACAATCCGGAAAATGGGTAGGAGATTGAGTCCAGAACCTCAGTTCACCTTTTTTTAGCTGCACACTTCAGGTGACGCCCACAGAGGGAGGGCCGTCTTGCAGGGCCAGACGAAAGTGTTTCCTGCTTCCCAAGGTTCCCAGGCTACTCTTTCGCTGCACTGCCTTCTGTTTGCCTCTGAGAATTGTTCCTGTGGACAACCCACCAACCTCTGGGAACAGGCACACCATGGAAGGTCAGTCGTCCCATGAACACACCAGCTAGTACTCAGGCCAAAGGCTAGGGGACCTAGACTCCAAAGAGGTGGTCTAATGAAATCAACACAGAACAAGAAGACCCAGGCTGACGTGAACGGAGTAGCAGACTGGAGCAATCTGGTTACAGAAATGATGATAAGCAATTACTGAATTTTAATACAGGAAATGTCACAAATTCATCAAAATCATCCATATTATAGGAGAGAAAACTGAGGCTCTGAGAGGTTAAATAATTGCCTGAGGTCTTAGAGCTAGTAAGTGGCATGGCCACGTTTTAAGCCAGAGTCTGAGCTGAGCCAAGCCTTTGGCTGCTACACTCTACCACCAGTCTTTTCTACCACAAGCAGGGCTGCCCCGCTGCGTCCCCCGGCCAGAGCACAGGGACTCCCTCCTGACAATCACATCAGTCCTCTTCCCTGAGACTGACGCCGGGCTCGCTGATCAACCCCCAGATGAATAATATGACTTCTCAGGTGCCTGCACACTGGTCAGGGATGTCTGCTGTTTATGTCTACCCAGAATCACCCCTTTTGGTGGGGGGGGTAAGAGCCTCATCACTGCTATTCCCCACTCCCACCCCAAAATTCTACATGGTTCTGGTAGGGTTACCAATAATGATGTCCCCATTTTGTGGCTACAAGAATAAGCATGTGGGCTTCCTTGGTGGCGCAGTGGTTGAGAGTCCGCCTGCCGATGCAGGGGACACGGGTTCGTGCCCTGGTCCAGGAAGATCCCACATGCCGCGGAGCGGCTGGGCCCGTGAGCCATAGCCACTGAGCTTGCGCCTCCAGAGCCTGTGCTCCGCAACGGGAGAGGCCACAACAGTGAGAGGCCCGCATACCGGACAAAACAAAACAAACAAACAAAGAAAACAAGAATAAGCATGTGATTTGGGCCTGGCCAATCACAGTAAATCATCCCCTTGGCCAACGTGATTTGTCCAAAGGATGGCTCTGTCACCCAAGATGAACCAATCAAATCCCTTTTTATATCAGAATCTTTTTTTATATGGTGAAGCTGAGAGGGAGATGCCCTCTTTTCCCTGGGGTTGCTAAGTTGGAATGATACCAGCTTGGAGCTGCTGAGGTGATGTCCTCCCAACCTCTAGGACACAGTCTACATCATCGAGAAAAGCAAGGATGAGTTGGGTGACTGACAGGGCAAGAGACAGCATGACACAGGCAGAGAAGAGATCTGAGGCCCCAGGTTCCAGTTGGACAAGTCTTTCTGGTTCAGTGAACTATTCAACTCCTCCTACGATATCTCCTTTTCCACTTACACCAGTCCAGGTGGGTTAATGGATGGAGACGTCAGCCTCATGGCCAGTGCCATTCTGGTTCCTACTGGGGAGCTGTCAGAATTGACATTCCGTGAGTCCACCTCTAGTAGACGAGGAAAATTGGTGCAGGAACTCAAGAGGCTGACAGTGAGACCTCGAACTACCCCAGACAATCCCCTTCATCGGGAGAAGCTCTGTTGGTACAGGAGAAGGAGCAAGAGATCTCAGGCTGAGTGGAGCTATGAAACCCTGGCCCTGCAAGCCCAGGTGGGCCAGGTGACAGGAATGTCATGCCTCCACAGGAGCCTTTTCTGGGGAAGTTTAGAAGAGACGCTATGACTGCTGATAATGTCTTAAGAGGACAGCAGGCAGGCTGTGAGCGAGAAGGCAGGAAGCATGCCAGGAACTGTACTTGGTACTTTTCATCCATGGTCATGCTTGATCCCCCGGGTAAACCTCTTGAGGTCAAGGGTTATCATCTTCAGTTTGAAAAAAGGACACTGGATTCCCTCAAGCATCAGCTAGTGAGGGGCCAGGGTGACACCCAGAACTGAGTATACGTGGTTGTAGAGTCTCAGCTACCGCCACAGAGCCACACACGATCCAGGATTTGAGACTGATCGGCATAGCTCAGGTTCACTGCAGAAGCCAGCAGGCTACCCATGAGCACAGCCCTCTGCACCTGGGAATGATTTCCCCAGAGGGCTGTTTTGAAAAATATGGATCCAAACAAACAAACAAAAAGTGTGCATCTAAAAATAGCGCTTCAAAATACCAGAAGACTGACAGAACTAAAGAGAGAAAGAGACAAATCCATGATTACAGCTGAAGACCTAGCACCCCTCTCAGTAAGTGATGGAATATACCAAAAAAGAAAAAAAACAAAAAATAGAAGACCCACAGAAGATTTGAACAATACTATTAATGAACTTGATCTAATTAGCATTTATAGAACGCTCTCCCTACTAGCAGAATATATATTCTTTTCAAGTGCACTGAAATATTTACCAAGATACACTATAGGTTGGGTCATAAAACAAGTCTAAATAAATATCAAAGAACTGAAATCATTTAGAATATTATCTGACTATAATGGTATTAAACTAGAAATCCAAGATATCGAGAAAACTCACTCAAACGTTTGAAAATTAACCACACTTCTAAATAGCCTGTGTGTGCTGGTTTTTAAGTTATTGCCTCAGCCCAGACCCACCCTTTCATATTCTGCTTTGTGATGCTGTGCCTGGGAATCTGAAAACTCTATTTCTCCAGGTCGGGCTCCATATTCATATACATACTCATCTCTGCCAAAAGGGGGAGCTCCAGGGAGACTGGAAGGCAGGAGGAGGGAGAAAGACTTGCTCCTTTCCGTCAGCTTCCAGTTTCTGTGAGCAATGCTGCTTGGCCCTGGCAGCTGCAATTTCTTCCCAAAGCAGCAGCTGCATCCACTCTGCAGTCTTCCCCACACTTGCGGCTGAATTCTTTTACTGCCCTATCCCCCAACAAACACACCAGCACCAACTGTACAGAGCCCCCTCCTCACAGGTCTGAGTTTCAAATCTGTGGGGCTCCTCTTCTTAATTCCTAAATAATTCCAACATCTTCACTTTGTTCCCTGAGTCCTAGGGTTGGAAGCTGTGTCCTGCAGTTGCTACTATCTTTTAACTGTTTCAGTGCTGGATTAAAAACTTTACATTAGAACACAAATTCTCAAATAACTGGGGTAGTTCCTCTCTCCTGACTGGACCGTGAATCACATGCTGTGGGGCAGATTTTCTGTTTCTTCTTGTGCACATACTTGCAATAATCACTGCCCTCCATTCTTCCCTCTACATCTTCCGTACTTCCATCTAGAATTTTCCTTCACCTGAAAGATGCTCTTTAGTACTTACTTTAGTGCAAGTCTGTTGGTGCCTAATTCTTCGTGTTTTCTTGGCTTTCTTTAGTGCTCCTACAGCGCTGTGGCTGCATTGTAAAATTTACCCTGTTTGGATTTGTAAGGATTCTTATACCTGTACCTGTGACTTGAGAGCTTTCATCACTTTGAAAAATTCTCAGCCAATTATCTCTTTAATGATTGCTTCTGTCTCATCTTTTTCATTTCCTCTGGGCTTCTACTGACACATGATAAAACATCTCACAGTACCCTGTATGTCTTTTATCTTCTCTTTTCTGCATTTTATTCTGACCTTTCTTCCATTTCACTACTTCCCTCTTTAGTTCTAATCTGCTGTTAAGCTCATTCATTGTTTTTTTTTGTTTGTTTGTTTGTTTTTGCGGTACGCGGGCCTCTCACTGTTGTGGCCTCTCCCGTTGCGGAGCACAGGCTCCGGACGCGCAGGCTCAGCGGCCATGGCTCACAGGCCCAGCCGCTCTGCGGCATGTGGGATCCTTCCAGACCGGGGCACGAACCCATGTCCCCTGCATCGGCAGGCGGACTCTCAACCACTTCGCCACCAGGGAAGCCTTCATTCATTGTTTTTTAAACAACTTTACTGAAGTATAATTGGCAAATAATAAGCTGCACATATTTAAAGTATGCAACTGATGAATTATGCTGAAACCATCACCAAAATAAAAATAGTGAAAATATCCATTACCCCAAAAAAGTTTCCTCATGACCTTTTGTAATCTGCATTTTTACTTTCAGCTACTGCATTTTTCAGTTTTGGAATTCTAATTTGATTCCTTTTCTTTTTTAAAAAATTTTATTTATTTTTGGCTGCATTGGGTCTTCACTGCTGCATGCAGGCTTTTTCTAGTTGTGGCGAGTGGGGGCTGTTTTTTGTTGCAGTGTGCGGGCTTCTCATTGTGGTGGCTTCTCTTGTTGCAGAGCATGGGCTCTAGGCGTGCAGGATTCAGCAGCTGTGGCATGTGGGCTCAGCAGTTGTGGCATATGGGCTTCAGTAGTTGTGGCTTGTGGGCTCTAGAGCGCAGGCTCAGTAGTTGTGGTGCACGGGCTTAGTTGCTCCTCGGCATGTGGGATCTTCCCGGATCAGGGATTGAACCCGTGTCCCCTGCCTTGGCAGGTGGATTCTTAACCACTGTGCCACCAGGGAAACCCTAATTAGATTCCTTTTCAAAACTAATGTCTTCTATTATAATTTCCAAATCTCTGCTGAAATGTTCAATTTTGTCTTTTATATCCTTAAACGGAGTACGCACAGTAATATCTGAGCTTCCTAAAAGGTCTTCCTGCTTCTGTACTTGCCTCCTTTACAGAACATTTTCCACATACAGCCAGAGTAGTCCTTTTACTACAAAACTTCTCACGTCACTCCTCTGCTTAAAACCTCCAACTGCTTCCCCAATGACCTTCTATCATCCACCGCTCTCCCCCAGCCCACAGAGTGGCAGCTACAGTGGCCTTTGTGCTGTTCTCTGAACAAACCAAGCTTTTTTCTGCATAAGCGTGCTTCTCTTTGCTATTTCTTCTGTCTGGAATATTCCTTCCCCAAAAAATC